TCCTGCTGTTTAAAAACCGCTCTGGTGCCTAAAGAAGGAAACCTCTGACCTACATCTGACTTGCACAAAAAGAGAAACCCCCTGGAGAACCCCATACTGAAGCTCACCAAAGCATCCACTCAAATGGCCATGCTTTGTGCTGTTTCATCCCACATGACTTGGATCCTGGCTTTGAAAACTGCCCAGCCTGAAAGCGGCCCTGAAGCCCTGGTTCCCTCACAAAACACCAAATCCCCAAACAGCCCCAAAGTCCTGGCTTCCTGCACAGCTATGCCCAGGGCAGAGGCCTGTCCGTGCAGGGGAGCAGAAGGGATTTCTCCAGTGCCCCACTGGAAATACTTCACATCCTTTGGTACCATATGGAGACATTCCTGAATGATTTATCAGAAAGCTCTGGACAACAACAGGGGTGAGCGGAGGGCACTGCTTTCCAGGACTGTTCTCTGCCTCACTGGGCCATCTCCATGGCAGTGACCTACACAGTCCCCTAGGACACGAGCTGCCCCCCTCCTTTGGACACCCTCCCTTAAGGCAGTTATAAACACTGATAAGATCCCCTCCACGCCCACAATGCCATTGGCCTTCTTTGCCACCCGGGCACATTGCTGGCTCACGGTCAACTTTTTGCCCACCAGGATGCCCAGGTCCTTCTCTCACAGCCGCTCTCCAGCAGGTCAACGCCCACCTGCCCTGGGCCATGCAGTTATTCCTCCCCACGTCCTGCTCTTGACTGTGTTGAACTTCCTGAGGCTCCTCTACCCCCAACTCTCCAGGCTGTCCAGGTCCCTCTTAAAGCCTGCACAGACCTCTGGGCTATCAGCCATTCCTCCCAGTTTTCTATCCTCCTCAAACTTGCTGAGGGTGCACTCTGCCCCTTCAGGTCACTGATTAATAAACTGAACAGGTTTTGACTGACTCCTGATACCAAGAGTTGCAGGTCTCCAACTAGGCTCTGCGCCACTGATCACAACCCTAAAGCCTAAACCCCAAACCCAGCTGCTCACATGGAGGTGACCTCACAGGTGCAAACCCACCACATCCCTG